TAAGCAATTACAAAAAAATATAAAAAAATATATTCTAGCGGGCATATTTGGCCGCTGGACGGTTTAAGGGATAGTATGAAATGAATGATAGAATGTGTTATATTTATAGAAGTTGCAAATATATTAGAAATGAATTTGGAATTCTTGATATACAGGTTGTAGCAGATATAATGTACTTAAATATTCTTATAAAAGATAATGATGATATTTATTGCCTTTTTCACCTCTGCTTAGTAAAAATTTCTGTACAACTATGCAATGAAGATGATATATTGTAATTTGTAGAAGCATTGTTGCTTTTATAAAATATTATGATTGTTAACATATCTTTATTATTTTATTCATTGAGAATTAGATCAAAATGTCTCAAGAAATGAAGTTCAAGTTCAAATATTACTGTAACTACTCCAGAACATTCTTCTATAGATGAAGAATAGAAATGCAAGTTTTATATATATATTTTTTTATCTTTATATTCTTTATATTAATAAAACTGACCCAGGTGGTTTAATTTCAGTGTATACATAATCAGTTTACTTTTGTATATATATTTTGTAATTTATTTTATTGTATTTTTTTGATATACTATACATTATTCAGATGTTCTATAGAATAAATGGGCAAACTCTGCCAACTCTGCAACTCCAATATTAAAAAATTAATGATTACTAATCATTAGCGAAGCTTATTTCTTATATTGTCCACCTATTCTATAAAACATCCCATTATTCTATATGATCAAGAATTTATAAAGTTTTTCTTGGTATCAGCATTACAAATTGTACATATATATGACTTTTATTTTCATAATGAATTGAATATCTTAAATAAAAACAATGATGAATATGCAACCTACAATAGAATTATTAAGAGAATTAAATTTCAGACTTGTTTTTTAGATTAATAAATTTAGAAAAAAGTTGAAACTGAAAATATAAAATAAAACAATCTTTTGAAGAATATTTGATACTAAAGATCTGATTTAAAGAGCTAGAAAAGAAAAATAAAGCAGATACTGCCAACCTTACTGCTAAAAATATTAAAATAAAGTTACGAAATTAGAACAAATTCAAATACATAATGATAATAAAAAACATATTGCTAAATTGGATGATAAAATTAAAAAAATTAAACATGTAAATATATTCATTCCAAAAGAACAATATTCAGCTAATATTAATGCTTTTTGTAAAATAAACACTGAGGATAACCTTAAACAAATAGACTCACAATATGGTAATACTTCTGTATCTGATATAACTAATAATACTTCAAATTCTGATAAACCAGTTTAAGAAGATAAGGCGAGCAGAAAAGTTAAAACAAAATATACTAAAAGTAATAAAAATTATAAATATATGAAAGCAGATAAAATTGATAAGCAAATGATAAAAGAAATCAAAAGTAGATCATTTTTAAAAAAAGAAAAAAAGAGACAGAAATAGAAAGGATAATGAGAAAAGAAGACAATTAAAAATACAAAATAGAACACTAATATAAATGCAGTATAATACAAGAAGAAAAAGCAATATTATGATCTTGTAATGTTGCAAGATTAGTAATAATGAAGAAGGAGCTAGTGAATGTCAAATAAGCAAATATTTTAGAAAAATTAGACAAAAGTTGGTTTAATAGAACAGCAGTAAAGACTAGCTAAGCTTCAAGATAACAATTTTGTAAGAAAATATATTAGAAGAAAGCAAATTCTAATTAGTAAAAAGTATAAAAAAAAGAAAAATCTACAAGTTCAAAAAATAAGAGTAGGTATGATATATAAAAAAATTATACAAAGCAGAAGAAGTGATAAAGAAACTTAGAGTAAGATTATTATTATTATTATTATTATTATTTTGTAAATGCCATAGTTGAAACTTTATTTAATAAAATAGAAAAGAATTTCTATATTAAAGATTTCAGAACTACATTTGTGCTACTATATTAGACACCCAATGTGACATTATACCCTCTAGTTTTCTATAT